TGTAGCCCCATCTCAGACTTAGAAATTCTGTCTCTGCTGAAATTCTCTCCCAGGCTGAGAGACCTTGGATTTGTGTCCTGGTCTGGGTGAGTCTCAACGAAGAGAATCATCAAATGGGGATAATAACAAGACTTAGGGTCCCACAGAGATTGGTGGGATCCTGTCAGCAAAGCCGATGTCCAGCTGGTAGCTCTCAGCATCAACGGAACTGTTATTATCCACCTGTTATTTCTGGGTACCCTCCCTTAGCTTCCTGTCATGTGGCAACCCTGGTGAATGTTCAGGGAAGGAGTATGGCTTCCTGTGCTCTCTCTACCTCACAACGAGAGGTCAATAATAACCTTCCGTTTCTTCCCTGAGTCATCCCTCTCCATCTCAGGGTCACTGCCACCCTATTACTCCAGATATCCAGTATTTTCTTGTTATTGCCATTGACAAAGAGATGCCCATTAACACATGCTATGTACAGTGTTAGTAATGTCTTGGCTTTTATAGATACTGTGCTGAGTACCCTTGGGATAGCTTGAAGAGTAAAAATGGCTCTTGTTGCCAAGCCCAGTGATCTGAGTTCAATCCCCAGAACCCACAAAGTGGAAGGAGAGAACTATTGTATACATGTGCCCCATACACACACGCGCACGCGCGCACACACACAGACACACACACACACACACAATACCAGAGGAACTGTACTAGGATAATGGGAATCTCTGCCCACTAAGGGAGACACTTGAGGTGGTAGGCTTACCCTTGTTTCTCTGGTTCCTTGAGTTACATTTGAGGGTGGTGGTGAAGCAGGTTCTCACTCCATAGCCCAGGCTGGCCATGAACTCATGACCCTTTGCTTCTACTTCCAAGGGTCAGATGTACAGGTGTGAGTTACCATGTCCAGCTCAAAGCCTTCTGTTAAATTTTTTTGAGACAGGGTCTCATGTAGCTCAGGCTTGCTCATGCTTATTATGTAGCTGAGAGTGCCCTGGACTTTCTGATCTTTCTGTTTCTGCTCCTCTGCCCAAGCTCTGGGATCATAGGCAAGTGCTGCCATACCTGTCTCCTCCGTTAAATCGTCAAGGAGCTGTTGCCTTGCTGTTTTCACATTCCGTCTGAGGCTGAGTACTCCCCAACATGGCCCCTGGGGTGGTGAGGACTTAGGTCTGGACTTAAGAGAGACTGACCCAAGAATGGGAGACATTTTCCACTGCCCCACCCAAGCATCATTCCAAGCTTTCCATTCCCAGGCATAAGGAGATGAGTGTCTCCCCTGGCCCCAGAGAGCCTGCCCCACCTCAGCCAAGGTCTGGGTCTAGTTTTTCCCACCAAGGAGAAAAAATAGCAAGAAAAACAGATGAGAGCTGATACCCTGTACTGCAGGGTCGGCTGGGACCTGGTGCTGGAGGAGCCCCAGGAAAGCTTTAACCCCCGGGCCCTCAGGCAGTCAGGAAGGGGAAGGGGGAAGGGGGAAGGGAAGAAGGCCCCTTTCCAGGCGCCCCTCTCTTCCATCTGGGACAGTGTCCATCTCCCCTATAATTGGTGTCCATGTGTGGGTCTTGGGATAGACCCAATTCTCAGCACTCGGGGTCACCTGGCTCACCCTCTATCTTTGGGCGGTGCCCTTCTTGAACAGGTCCATGCTAATGCAAAGGGTATTCGGAACCTGCCACCATCTGCATCTAAACGACCCAGTTAGTTTGCCTGAGTTCTGAAGGAGGTTTGGGCTTGGAAGTAGGAGATCTGGGCAAGTAGACATTTGAATCCATATTGCTGCAATTGTTACGTGCTGCACGCCCACACAGTGTAGTTATGAAGTTCCCCTGAGACCTGGCTGTGAAATGGCTTTACGAACTATAGAAAAAGATATAAAGGAAAGATTTGATACACAGCGATATGGAGCCGAACCCTTGACATTACCCTTCCTGCACCCCCTCTGGTCTGGAGAAGGCTCACCTTCGTCTAACCACCTCCCACCAGATGAAGGTCAAGGCAGTACCCCATGAGGAGATCTGCCTTTCTGTGTTCTTTCCCTATAAATTCTTGCTAGAACTTGCTTCCAGTGTCTAGAAGGCCATGATGGGAAGGCTTGGAGATCCCCATGAGCCAGACCTGGGTAAGCTGTTTGAATAGCACTCAGGCTGTGTTTGCTGAGCTACTGAAGGCACTGGGGTGTTGCAGGTGTGTGCTTATCTAGGAGCTTGGTGGGGTAAGAACTCAGGCTACGGAGTATTAAGAGGGCGTTTGCAGAATATTTGAACATATATATTATCTTACTCTTATATCATCATCCTTACCCTCTGAGGCAGGGAGGAGGAGTTGAGTAGCAAGCTGTAGCAAGCTGCAGACTCGGTGCCCGCTTTCAGGTCTTCCGACTACAAAGGATGCATCATCCTGGCTCTTCTGCTGCAGAAATAAGGGAGGAGAATGGTTTCCACTGCAGTGGCAGAGTGAGGCATCAGGGAATGAGCCAGCATTAAGGCATCTTGATAGTTTGGGAACACAAGAATCCTGCTATCACAGAGTGAGGGGCAGTCGGGGGTTTAGAGATGCTAGAGTTGGCTGGGGTCCTCAAAGTTTTGAATAAAGGATTAGATATGAGGTTCCAAAGCCCCCTCTAGTGCTGGGCTTTCAAAGGACATCTGATTTCTCCCAGTCATTCCCTCATTGCCATAGCCTGCAGAAGCAGGCGGGTGTCATGGAATCCTTATGGCTCCAGAAGAACTATGTCTAAGAAAGAGAAAGCTGAGGACCCTTCCCGCACAGGACAGAAGAAAGCAGTTGGAGCCCTTCCTCCACAGCCCAGTGCTCAGGAGGCTACCCCTGCCCTCTCAGGAGCCGCACTGGAAAATAACAATTGGGCAAGCTGCAGCCACTCTGCCAACTCCTTGGCACAGAGCTGGGCAGGCCCCAGCTGGGCACTCTGTTCAATGCTAGAGTGCAGGCAGACGCTATGGCTGGCTTCTGGGTAGTGTGGTTTTAAGGGAAGTGGGAGCCCACCCCCTCCAGGGGGGATAGTATTAAAACCTTCAACCCTCAGTGGCAAGAGAGGCTGTCACCTCTGTGTGTGTCTTCTGTGTCTGCAGACCTGGAAAAGGCTGAAAACTCTACTGCTTGGCATTTCTTTGCTTTGAAGGGCATATCATGATGAAGTGCCCTTATTTCTTGTGCTGTCATCACTTGATCCAAAATATGAGCTACACAGGGCCGGTGAGATGGCTCAGTGGGTAAAGAAAGGGACTTGCTGTCATGCCTGACAATGATTCCCAAGACCTGCACAGTGGAAGGAGAGAACTTGTTCCCCCAAGTTATTCTCGAACCTCCACAGGAGCATTGTGGTACACAAAAACACACACACACACACACACACACACACACACACACACGCACAGGCACAACACAATAAATGTAATTTAAAAAAATAAAAATATATGAGCAGGGGCTAGAGAGATGGATCAGGTGAAAAGAGCACTGTTTTTTCTTGCAGAGGACCTACACCTACATTTTAGCTCACAACCATCTGTAACTCTCTTTCCAGGGGTTCAGATACTCTCTTCTCACCCCCTTGGTTACCATGTATATACACTCAGTGCACATTACAAACAAAATGCAGACCAAACATTCAAATGTATAAAACAAAATAAATACATCTTTAAAAATAAAAAAAATACAAACAGGTTCTGTAGAGATGGCTGAGCAGTTAAGAGCACTGGCTGCTCTTCCAGAGGACTGGGGTTCAATTCCCAATAACCAAATGACAGCTCACAACTGTCTGTAACTCTTGTTCCAGGAGATCCAACACCCTCACACAGATATACATGCGGGCAAAACACCAATGTACATAAAATAAAAATAAACAAATATGTTTTTAAAAGAATAAACAAATATGAACTATGTAGAGGCAGAGACTTTTATCTTGTTCCTGGCACGGAGAACAGCCCCCAGCAGAAAGCCTCTGATCAATGCCTGCTGAGAGCTGCATCCATGCAAGTGTGCCAGTGAGTGAACGACAGGAAGTGTGAAGCGATAGCAGATGCTCAGCAAACACCGCTTTCTTCCCTGAGAATCAGTCCCAATTAGTTGAGCATTGCTGAGCTTGTCCTTGAGACCGACCTGTGAAATGACTAAAAGAGGAATGGGAAGCCAAGGAGGCAGGAGGTGCTTACAGCTGAACAGAATAGAACCAAAAGAATTGGGCCCGGTGTGGAAAAGATTCTTGGGACCCTCTTGGTTTGTTCATCACCTGGCTCTTTGGGGGAATGGAGACATGTTAGGAAGCACAGGACAGTGCTGTTAACTTCTGTGTGGCTTTGGGAACCATTTTCAGCCTCAGTCTAGTGGGCTGTCCTTATACTGCCACCCTTAGGGCTGTTACAATCCAACAGTGAGAAACCAGAAGGTCAAGGCGGGCACAAGGGGGTCATTTGCTTGAAACTCTTAAAGAGGCCCTTTGTTATTTCCTTCCTTCCTTCTTTCCTTCCTTCCTTCCTTCCCTTCCCTTTCCTTCCCTTTTCTTTTCATTTCTTTTTTTTCCAAGACAGGGCTTCCCCGTTTAGCCCTCGCTGTCCTGGAACTCACTCTGTAGACCAGGTTGGCCTCAAACTCAGACAGAGATCTGCCTGCCTCTGCTTCCTGAGCACAGACACTGCCTGGCTTCTGTTATTATTTTTTTTTCTTATCACCACTCAGAATTTCCTCCCTCTGCTGGAGGAGAAATGAGGCTAGAGTTTACAAACTCTTGGCTAGTCTTAGATCCTAAAGATTAGGCCCCTGAGCTAAAGACTCTGTCTCTCTCTCTCTCTCTCTCTCTCTCTCTCTCTCTCTCTCTCATATGTGCATGTACACACACACACACACACACACTCTTTCTGACATGTGCACACACACACATACACACAAGCTAGGATATGGAGAAGCCTCCTCTTAGCACCCTAGGGGCAGGTGAGCCACAAGGGAGGGGTCCACATATAGTCTTGGGGCCACTTCTCATACCTTGCCCTTCTTTCTTCCAGGTACAAGACAGTGGTGACTCAGCGGCGGGCAGCAGTGGCCATAGCTGGCTGCTGGATTCTCTCCCTTGTTGTAGGCCTGACACCCATGTTCGGCTGGAACAACCTGAGTGTGGTACAGCAAGCCTGGGAACTTAATGGCAGCGTGGGGGAGCCCGTGATCAAGTGTGAGTTCGAGAAGGTTATCAGCATGGAGTACATGGTCTACTTCAACTTCTTCGTCTGGGTGCTGCCGCCACTGCTTCTCATGGTCCTCATCTACCTGGAGGTCTTCTACCTGATCCGTAAGCAGCTTAACAAGAAAGTGTCAGCCTCCTCTGGTGACCCGCAGAAGTACTACGGGAAGGAGCTGAAGATCGCCAAGTCGCTGGCTCTCATCCTCTTCCTCTTTGCCCTCAGCTGGCTGCCGCTGCACATCCTGAACTGTATCACCCTCTTCTGCCCCACCTGCCAGAAGCCCAGCATCCTTATCTACATCGCCATCTTCCTCACTCACGGCAACTCAGCCATGAACCCCATTGTCTATGCCTTCCGCATCCATAAGTTTCGGGTCACCTTTCTGAAGATTTGGAATGACCATTTCCGATGCCAGCCCAAGCCTCCCATTGACGACGACCTCCCAGAGGAGAAAGCTGATGACTAGACTCCGCCCTGCTCCCTCCAACCCGAATCCTTGGCTCTCTGTTCAGCCCTCACATCCCAACTGTCCCACTGTTCCTCCTCAGCCTCCCCAACTGGGATGTGGGCTGTGGGTACCAGGGAGGCTCTGAAGAGATGCCATAGAGTAGGGCCCCCTTTACAAGGAGCTAGCTGCCCTTTACCTTGGGGAGCTAGAGGAGGCTTGGGGGTGGGTCAGGCTATGACAGGGAACTGGGTGCCCTGAGGTGAGAAGAATGTCTTGAGTGCAGCTCAGAGATCCAGGGCTAGAATATTCTGGTTCCTACAGTCAAACAGGGAAGCCGGCTGTTGGGTGTTGGTGGCCCAAGGAACCAACTTCAAGGAGAGGATAAGACCCCCTCAGAGGATGAATAGAGAAATGGGTATGTCCTCACTTTGCTTTCTCTCCTGTTCTGGAGGAATAGATAGCAAAGTGCAGGAAAAGGGACCTCATCCCCACCTCCAAGGACTTTGTGTTTCTGGCCATACAGGTACTTCGATGCTTGCACTCCGTACCCCAACAAGCCAGGGGTTATGCTTGCGAGAGGCAGAAAGAATGGGATCAGGGATCTTCTCTCACATTTTCTTTATTCACACAGCCCTGGACTTCCACTAGGTCTTTGAGCACTAGGGAGTAAGCATGGTCCAGAAGGTGCTGGCCTCAAATATCCAGCAGGGGGCAGCACTGAGCCCTTCTGCCCTGAACTTCCTGGGAGTCCCCAATGTAACTTGCTGTTTTCTGAGCCCTCAAGTGTCACCAACCCTCAGAGACAGGCCTGGACTCTCCTGGATGACACCATCTTTGTTTCTGGACCCCAGGAGAAGAGATCCCCGGAAATGACAGTCTTTGGGAGCATTCAGCCTGAGTGGGGAGGGTGATGAGCAATGGATCCAACAGGATCCCGGGTGACATGGGCCCTCCTGGTGTGGAGAATGGCAGGCCAGACCAGACCAGAGGAGACAACTCTCTCCAGAGTGTGAGGGATTGCCTTGATGGCATTTAAATATCCAAAATGCTCCTGGGGGGGGCGGGGGACTAAGCTCAGTTTTTAGGGACATCAAAAGCTGTGTTACAAATAGAGTATAGGCCATTGTGGGTCTCAGTTAGAACCAATCCGTAGCCTGCTGAACCTGGATCTCTTCCTTGTGTGGACAGCAGGCAGGGAAGAGTTCTGAGTATGAATATTGACTCCGAGTCTTGACTCCAGACTCTTCCCTCAGTTGGAGGTAAGGCGTCACTGGCTCTCAAGGAGGCCCCAATGTCTAATAAAAGACTATGAACCCTTGTGGAGAGCGCGTTGCTGGCAGTACCCCAGCACTGTCAGAGGGCAGCTAGACCATCTCAGGAGAAAAGATGTAACGGTGGGGGTGGGAGGAAAACTGGGAGGGGGGCATGGAAGCAGATGGAACAAGGAAGGTTCCAGAGATGGTGTATCTGTTGCTATAGTTACACATTTAGGGTAGCATGTTGTGAATCAGAAGGCAAGATCCAGAACATTCATATGTCTAAAAAAATGGCCCGAGCTATCGTGAGACCCTCCCTGCCGGCACACTCCTTGTGGTAATAGTGTCTGCCCTGCCCAGAAGCATAGCACACCCATTCACCATGACACGCACTGCCACAGAAGCCCTGTGCTATAACACCACACACATTTATTTGTCTGCTTCTCGCCAGTGTACAACTCTGCAGGGGGTGCCAGTCTTCACATCTTTGGGGTACTCTTGTACCCAGGAGGCCTGACCTGAGGCCTGCCAAGCCCAATCCTGGGTCTGGACTCCAGCCTCTCGTGGAGGAAGGCCTGCAGGTACCATACGCCTCTGGTATGGTCTTAGGTATCCGTGGAGAGACATTTGGGCCTGGTGGCCTGATCCTCAGGCCTGCAGGACCTGGCAGAGAATGTCCTTCCGAGCCCTGGTATATGACCAGGCAGTCAGCAGAGGTGTTGGGGAGTCAGATGGAGAACCACCTCCACCCTTCTCTGTCCTTCCTCAGCCTCAGTTTTCAATGCTGAACTCTGCCTAGTGTGGCTCTAGAGACATCATAGTTCATCCAAAGCCCCAGAGTCACCAAATGCAGAAGGCAGGGCAAGGGCTGGGTCCCTACTAAGAGAAAGGTGCAAAGAGAATACCTATGTTTACAGTCACTCAAAGCCAAGGCTAGACCCTGTCCTGTGACCACCCGCTTTCCCTCCCTTCCGGACCTCAACAGCACCACCCAGCCCTACACTGACATTACCAAACGGAATATGCATGCTAGTTGTCTTTAGCTGCAAAACTGTACCCAGATCTGTCTACCGCCTTCCCTCCCTACCCAGCCCCTCTCCCTGGGAAGTAGATTTTCCTTCCCAGTCTCCTCTTTGACCATGCTCTCACTGGAGGTAGCCGAAGGAGTGGGCCCATCCACTCACCTGGGTCCTTGTCCCAGTCTCTGCCCATAGTGCTCCTCAGTGTGTGGCGGAGGCTGAAAGAGATCCTACAGGTCAGAGCCTGAGAGGCTCGAGGTCAATGATCCCCAGGGCCCCAGTCTCCAGCTAGAGAGAGCATCTCCCCGCCTGGAAGTCACACTAACTCCCCCCGACCTCTCCCTACTCCTTGTCTCCTGATCCAATTATCATTCTAAGCTGCATCTAGTCCAACTCCAAAGATGGACTCTATTTGCCTCCCCCCCCCCCCATGGCTGGGAACTAAGGGAACCCTCAGACTCCCACCTTTGACTTCCAACCGACAATCCACAGAGGCCTCCCCTAGCACGTTGATGGCCTTGCAAGTGTAGACTCCAGAATCAAAGGGGCTGGGCTTCCGGATCTCCAAGGTGCAGACCCCTTGTTCAGAAACTGCGAGATACTTGGGGTCACCCTGGATGTCCATCTTGTTTTTCATCCAGATGATCTTGGGCTGGAGGCAAGATCAGATGAGGATAACAAAGGGACAACATAGTTGGAAGCAGCTCTCAAGAGATAGTTTCAACTGCACTGCCCTTGCTCATCCCACGCCCAAGGCCCCCACCTTAGGTGATGCTCGGACGCTGCAGAATAGTTGTGTGCTGTAGCCAGGAGTGGAGGTGTGGTCAGCCAGGGGCTGGGTGAATGACGGGGCTTCTGAGAAGTCTCGCTCAATAAACCCCTTAGGCTTGGCAGTAATATCTGGGTTCAGGGGAGAATTTGAGGTTATAGGAGTAGAAGGGCCTTCAGAAGACTGGCTTCAACCCCCAAGCTTTGGGAAGCTCAGCCTGGTCAGCATGTGGAAACTGTCAGGCACTAGAGAAAGCCTAGCTGAGCAGAGTTGAGGCAGGTCAGGAGGCGAACAGAGGAGTGGGCGGGCAGGAAAACCTGAGCCGCAGGGGATTGCGCAGAAACTGAACATCACATTCCATTTCTGTCTGTCTTGGAGACCTGACTAACTTTCCTTCATTTTAAACACAAAACTCTTATGGTTGTGCTGTTCCGGCTGATGTTGAGTGAGATGGCTCAGTGGATAAGGGTGCTTGCCACCAAGCTCGACACCCTGAGTTCAATCCCTGGGACCCAGAAGGCAGAAGAAGAGAACTGACAAGTTGTCCTTAGAGTCCACATGCGTGCGTGCATGTGAACACACACTCACACACAAATAAATGTAATTAAAATGAACAATAACTAAGAGTGTGGCTTCCAGGGTCACTGTATGCGTGTGTTGTGGGGAGGATCTGAGACAGGCCTGGGGCAAGGTGGAGTGCTGGAGTTTCATATTTGGCCCCACCGATCGGATGCCTGATGGAGACAGTAAATACCACAGTCAGTTTTTGGGTGGGGAGATATCTGTCTTTACAGATTGCCACTCTACCTATCATGTAAACCTTACCCTTCAGAGCATGAGCCCGGGGACACTGTAGGAGACTTCTGTGATGATGGCAGCCACAGTCATCTTTAGAATAAGCACACAGCCTCCTGAGGGGCACTGCTCATTTACATGGCTTTGCTCTGGTGTTTGCTAAAATCTATTGGGCACACCGGTCATTTACAATCACGCGTGTCAGTGCGTGTTTGCATTTGCACATATGCTCGTGCAGAACTGTGGAGTGTGTGTGTGCGGGGGTAACAAACGTTCCAGGGAGCAGTAACTGAGGAGAAGCCTAGAGGGATGTGGGACATGGGAGAAGAAGTCGTGGCAGATGTTGATATACCGGTCCTGATTTGGTTTCCTGCCCAGGCTCAAACCCACTTACCTGCCTTCTGGATGTGAGCCAGCTCCTTGGTGGTGGTGGCTTGATCACTGAGGCCACACAGGTTTTCTGAGAAGACCCGAAAGGAGTACGAGTTGCCAATGATGAGGTCTGAGATGGTGCAGGTGGTGGGATGGTAACGTTCCAACACTGTGAACCATTGCTACAGGGACCATGGCTGGGTTACCTTCAGCCCTTACCCAGTTCTTGTCTTTCCTGCTCACCCTAGCCCCCCTCAGTGGGGCTCATTCCATATCCCAGCTTTGGGAGGCCAAACTATCCAGCTCTGGGCCTGAGGGACTTGGAAGTAGGAGAGGGACTTTCTGGGTCAAGCATGAGCTCAAGAGCCTCACTACTCAAAGTGTGGCTGGCAGACATGCAGCCTCGTTACCTGGGCACCATTTAGACATGTGGGTTCCCAGCCCCCAGCCCCAACCGTCTGCCTCAGAGTCTACATTTAGCAGATTCCCAGGTGATTTCTACGCACGATAAGACAGTTCCATTGCAGCCCAGTGCAGTGCACCCTGAAGGCTGAGGTACAGAGAGGGCACAGGCTTGCCCAGAATGATACAAGCAGTCAGTCAGCAGTAGTTGGTCTAGTCTTAGTGGGATGGACCTTTTTGTCCTGGACCCCTTCTTTCCACCCCTGTTACGCCCCAGCCAGCCTCACCCCTGTCTTTTTGTCTGCCTTCTGCACCGTGTAGCCCAGGAGCTCTGTGTTGCCTGTGTCCTGGGGTGGAGTCCACTCGAGGGCTGCATTGCAACCCCAGACATCCAGTAGCCTGATGCTGCTCGGGGGGCCGGGTTTCTCTGCAGGATCAGATTATGAAGGGAAGTGAGGAGGAGCAGGCTTGCTACAAAGTCTCCACCCAAGATTTGGCACTTGCCATGATACCCTAGCCTCCCCTCTCCCACCATCAGGTCTGGGATGGGAGGTGGGAGATAAGTGTTTCTGAGATAGCCCTTTCCCCCTGCCCTTGTACCAATCACTAGGATGTCAATGTTGGCCTTGGCTTCCAAGCCTTCCAGATGCACAGTGAGCTCATAGCGGCCGGAGTCTGAGCGCTGGGCCGAGCGAATAAAGAGGATGGAGTCCTGGTCCCCGGTGCGCACATTTACCCTCTGG